GAACGTTTAAATGAATTTATTTTGCATTTTTTTATATGTCAAAAAACGGTCAAATAACAGGCATTTAACTGCTGCCAGTAACCCTACTGGTCACATTTTTTTGACATTTAAATATCAATTGTTAGGCCGTTAGAAAATGTGAAAAAAATATCTTCTGAACCTGAGATATTATCACCTGCATTGAGTCAAGAACCACAGACCACTTCTTCAAGGCAAGTTTCTGTGACTCGTATCACTGAAGAAGAGAAACACTCTAAATTATTTTAGGAAAAACAGAGTCATTTATATTATTCATGACGGCAGAATAAAACGGTGAATGACTTGGTGACCATAAATGCCATTTTATGACCAGTTTTTTGCCATTTTGAAATGAAGAAAAAATGGAAATTTAACGGCCACATTTATTTGGCATTAGTTAACGCGGTCTAATAAATGGACGAAAATGCCATTTAATGATGTCCGTAAAATGACAATTTTTCAGACATTGCCTATAATCTGGCATTATTTTCACCGTTATTTCAAAGTCAAAAAATTGTCATTATAATGGCTGTTAAATGACAATTTTCATTCGATTTTTACACAATTAACAAGCCATCTTATGGCATACAGTTAACAGGCTGTTAATGGACAATTAAATGCCAGTTTTCGTCACCTGGGTAGTCAAAAATATAGTATTTGAAAAGTCTATGCATTCACTAGCGAGGTTCAAACCTCATTCTATACTTTCTCAGTACTTATTAGAGAATCTATAGAATCACTGACGAATCTATAGAATGGCTAATTCTCCACAACATATATACCCCGAGATGTGCGCCGCCGCGCCGGTTCGTGGATTGATCGCCAGTCATTTTTTACACGTCGCCGCCGCCATACCTTTAAACTTTTATCGCCACTGAGGGCGGAGAAAATTTTTTCCGAAAATTTATTGACTATGTTTTTTAGTACGTTCTTATCTTAGGCATCTAGCGTGCAGCTCTTTTCTATCATTTCGTGTACGGCAGCGTACAGATACAGTTGGTGTACGAAGAACGTGCCAGAAATGAAAGAGAACGTTATTTCATTTAAATTCGGAGATTCGCCGCTGATAACCAGTTTTTATACGCCGCCGTCACAGGCGGAGGAAATTTTCGTAGCCTCGCGCCACCGTGGACTATGTTAAAAGTTTCATTCGCCACCGCCGAAAATTTTTTATCAGCACACATGTCTGTATATACCTACCGTAGATAACTGCCATATGTTATTCAAATCATCTTATTTGAACTTAAATGTCTCATCTAACTGTATTAAAACAATTTATTTCAAATTTGTATAACTGTGATGTACCAGAACGAAGTGTGCCAGAAAGTTTCTGTATTAACACCAGTTCAAAAGCATTATTGTACAAGAAGAGTAGTCCACCAACTATAGAGCATTGCATTAGATAATAATACATCATTAACCATTTACTCCCGGATGTCTACAGGCGGGGACATTAATGGGATATCATAGAAGGAATCAATATACCAAGAGGACTGTGCATCGAATCAGAAAATGGATTTTTCCCTAACTTAAGCTGACATCATAAACTAGTCATCACTTACATGAAAATTTTTTTTCCTTGAGTATAAATCGACTTATGACTGTTTCCAGTTCGGTTTGCAAGATCAGCTGCCGGATGTAAAGGATTAAATCAACTTTTTTGTTATTTGATTTACAGATGTAATTATCGTTGAGTAGATCGTGTTCTTGCTTCAATAGGATAAACTCTTGAAGAATAGGATGCCATTTCCATCATTTGTAAGTCCAAATTATTTGTTGATGAAGCAATCGCAATACAAAGTTATTTAAATTTAAGCAAAAACGATCTAAGTTTTATGAAAGCTGCTCTTGATGATAAGATTAACATACCAAATACAAATGATGTATTGAAAGCAAAAAGAAAAAGGAAATCTGAATTAGTTAAATATAGAAATGGACGAGGAAGAATGATTCAATCAAGACATGATGTAATTAACAGTAAAACGATTAATTGATGGGTTAAAAGTCAAAGAAAACATGTATCATTATCATTATTATATAACGAAAAAACAGGCCATGATGATGCTGGTACAATGTCAATTTATCGTTCATCAGGCAGTTCACAAACGGATCCAAATATATTCTTAAAAATGTTTGCACCATTAAGTTTAACATCAACATTGTCTGATACTACTCTATGGATAAATAAAACACCTAATAGTTCAAAAGCCATGTGCGCTTATTACTGAATAAGAATATGAAGATTTAATTGAATTTATAAATACAACATTTGAAGCGGATGAAGATAAACTTCAAGAAAATGGACTTATTCTACGCAATGAATGGGAATATATTCAAAAAAATTGAAAAAGGATTTCCTATTGAGGAAACAGCTAAAGCTACGTTAGAATTAAATTCACATTTTTATCGCTAAGAATAAGATGTTGACAATGTCGAAAATGCAACATCGTTCGTAGATGGCCACTCACAGTGGGCAATTAGGCAGCAATTTGGTCAAAAAGATGAAGTTTGATTTTGCTTGATTTGAAGATTGGCCTATATACTTCAAGTGACGGGCTATCTAACGGCAAAAGAATTTTTATCCGAAGTTCTTTCCTCTCGGGAAAAAGTTAGTCGGAAAAATCCTTCTATTATCTTGTACCTTTTTGGAAAAACCGCATTTTCTCGACTTTGGTGTCAGCATTAATCTGAGGCCATATTCGGAATCAGCGGAAGTTAGGCTTCTAATCAGCATGGGAAAAGCTTTTCTCGAGCCTCATTCTTAAAAAAGATTTTGATCTTTTCTGGAAAAACGTGATTTTCCAAAAGCTTCACTCAATGCAATGAGATCGCTAAATTTTCCTAAGCTCCAAGAACCTTCATTTTTTGCGAGGATGAGCTCCATAACCACCTCTATCTATGGTATCAGCCCATAGTCGCCCAAATCACGCTGGCGTTCTCTGGAGATTTTCAAAGATCCGTTGGTTTTCAGGGTAAAATAAGCCTTTTTGTACCTTAAAATGATTTTTTTCGATATAACCTATACATATTCGAGATCAGTGGGAAAAACTGCATCTAATGAATTAGAATATTGCATATTAAATTCCGAAAACGAAATTTTTTGGCTTTTTGAGCCAAGAATTTGCACGTATTTTTACATACTCCCTATAAGAATCACACGAACCTGGAGATTTTTTCCATGATACAGCAGTTTCAATGTTTTCGAATAAAGACGATTTAGATTTGGATATTTTGTTTTACAAGAAATAAAGCTAGAAATAAAATTTCACTTCTTCTTGATGATACTTTCTCTCGTTTCATTTGATTGTCTTCTCTTTAGTTAAAAAAAACTAAGTTTCTAATCCGTGTTTCAAAAATCTAAGAAAACTACATTTTTCGGAAAACTTATGGAAAATTCTAAGTGCATGAAAAGCAGCTTCGACATCTTCGCCAGTCTTAGCGTGGTGAAAATTCTCAAAATGTGTGATTTAGTGCTTCATTTCATGGAAAATAAGCGAAATTTAACATTTTTGGAAAATCTTGGAAAATCAAAACTAGCTAGCAGATTTCTGATAGCACCATTAGACTCAGCGTCACGAATCACGTATGGGAAAGTGTTTCAGCGTTAAAAAATGTAAACTAGTCCAAATTGCTGCCTTCTCTTGCATAAATTGCCCACTGTGCGGGTCTACCAATTCCTTTGGGATTATGCTCAATTGTTTATTTTATTATGACATATATAACATAATATTTTAAAACAATTAAAAAATCAACGTATATTCATATACTTCAGGACTAGTCTGAAACGTCCCTTTCGCTTATCATCACTAGTTTAGTTTTTAAGAAATGCCAGTATAACCCGTCTAGACTAGTCCAAAGAAAAAAAAGATGATATGAATAATTCCATGGTGTACGTTTCAATTATACATAGAAGTATATGTCGCATTTTGTAGAGCGCATAATTCTGTATAAGATAGAGTAATTTACAATGTTATTCAATAGCAGCTTCATTCCGCTTCATGGCTGTTTTTCAAGAGACAAATAAGCTCACACTATCTCCGGTTGAATAAGTTTCGTAAAAAACATCAGAAAATTATATAAAATTATATATGCTGAGGTTAGATGGAATAGTAAAGTCTTCTCAACAACGTTCTTCGTTCGAAACAAAGAATTCCTATTTTAAATTGCTGATGTTTCACTTATCCATATGTATATGCACAAGAGAAACGAATCAGAGTTATACAGTGGAGCGAAGAAAGTTATTTCAGCTGGGATAGCAAATTGAACTAGAAAAAGTAGACTTACCGTGTAGTTGTGACAGTCAGTCGATCTTATGCGATGCTGACCAGATCACCAAAAATTTATCCTTTTATATAAATTTTTGTTGTTTATATACACCAAATAAACAGCATGTCATGTCTACAGAACATTCACTAAAAGTAAAAGGTGGACGCTAATGGAACGTGCATAGGAAGTCGAGCTTGATAAATTCAATACATAACTCTAAGAGAGGACCTCCAAGTGATAACTTCCGATCTCGCTAATATCGTGAGAACAACTAAGGTCAGGAAGAAAAACAGGATTTGAGCCAATGCGGATACTTATCGGACTTATAAGCTAGCTACTTAGGCCAATTACTTCTGATGACCGGCGCCTGACGACTTATAACGTTAGTCTTTTAATTTTTTTAAAAATCAATCATTCTATATCCTGAAATATATACTGGTAGTGTCTATGTCATATGGATCGGAAGAAAATGAATTCTTACGTTAAGCAGATTATCATAATATACAGCGAAGATGACATAACTTGGAAAGGCGATTTTGAGAAAATTTCGCTCAAACTGGCTTCCTGTTCTGCTTGGGGTTTATGAATTATTAGTAGTTGAGTATACTGTTGTATCTGGCTTTTTTTCTTTAGCACAAGGGGAAAAGAGTTAGAGTTTCAAAGAGACAGCTGGTTTAATATTAATTTTTAACTTCGTGTTTCTCTGTATAAAAATAAATAAAAAAACTATTGATAATTTTCTTTCGTATTCACCTGTTTATTTGCTTTTATTCTATTTCTACTTTTATTGCAACAAAAACACCATAAAAATAAAACAAAACAATTTTTTCCAACCGTGAATCCGCTACTGTTTTTTAGTTTTCAGCAATTGTTAATCTGTTCTTTGACATCTCCAATTAAGTTATTATACTTTTTTTCATATATTTCTTAGTGCGTGCCAATTCCTGTTGAAATTATTCGCGGAAGTGGTTCTACGACTAGTCGTCCATCATTGCCATATCAATTAGATTCACCATTTCGCACCACACCACAGAATGCTAATTTTATTAGTAATCATTCTCCATTCTTCCATACTACAACAACAATGCCATACATAAATAATAATCACAACAGCAGTTATGAATCTCGTGGAATTCATACACATCAAGGTCCAAAAACAGCCTTTGATAGACTAATTAATGATTCAACATTCTATCAACCACCCAGTGGAAATCCATCATTTTACCGACAATCATTACAAACTCAATACCCGAGAAATAGTCAATATATTAGTACAGCATCAAATTTGAACGAACCAACAATAACTTCTTTTCGTTCAAGTAAAGATCTTTCCGATCAATATTATTCATTACCCGATTCAATACTGCTAGAGCATGCTAATGGAAATGACTATGGTTATTTACGTCGCCCTAATTTCGATAATCGTTATTTCCAACAAAACCCTACATCAAGACGTTCGTACGATGTTTTAAACGATTATTCCGATAAGAACTTTAGAAATTTTCCACGTGTATGGTCTGGATCTACGTTTACAACAGGCCATCCGAATGAACAAGATGTAGCAGTAGATGCCAAACAGTTATCACAAAAATATGATACATACAATATACCATATCAATCCATTTTCCCAGGACAAACAGATGGAACATCAAATGGTAAGAATGCATTTGTAGTATCGGTGAGAAATGAGAAGAGATTTTATTTATCGAGTCCAGCTAATTGCTTGTCAAAAGATTAGCAAATTAGAGACATTTTTTTAAAATTTGTAGCATTTAAGTCAAAAGTATTCAATGACTGTATGGACACTAATACTAAGAGCAGTTCCACGCTACCTTATTTAATTGCTAAAAAGTGACGAAACTTTTTATTCGATTTTTAGAACACCCATTTTTAACAAAATTTAGCAGAAAAAATCAATGGTAATAGATTTTTACTGCGATAAAAAATCGGTAACGGTAAAAGAAGCGGATCGAACCAACATTATAATTTAACGAGTCATTCTGTTGAATTAACTGAGTGTACTACTGAAGTTAACCAGACATTTTTCTGCACTGTTTCAGAAGAGTGGAAATAATTGTCTAAAAATACCCCTCTGTTGATACTTTTATAAACCCCGACAACTTCGTTAATCAAGAATATTCTTTTGAACAGATCCGTAACTCCAGTACCAAAAGTCTTAACATTTCTATCCTGAAATCATGATATTTATGCGCCTTAAAATCGGCTTTCTACAGTTAAACTATTATTTACATTAACGTCAACTTGTCCTATTAGCTAAGTGTATCTATGGAGGAGGAAACAAGTGAACATTATCTCTTGTGGTATTCACGATTCATAAATCAATAAGTTAATCTTTTTGCAAAATTAAGTTTTCTGAACACTAAAAACACAGTTAAAATATTATTACTCAATGACAGTAGCCTCGATCTGGATAGTATTGGTTCATATTTAGATGAAACAGACCAATTTAAACATAGAAATAGCGTTAAATGAGAAAACATCATTTTGAAATAAAAGATCGGAAAACAACACAATAGTCCGGACAATTGCTTGGTTACTGTAACAGATGCACACACAAGCAACCAATATCTTATCTCTTTCACCTTTCTTTCTTTTATTTTTCAATTTTTACTCCTATTTCGCATGTATTGTCATTTTTTTTAAACAACCCTATGCTAAAAACCTAATAATGATTACTGAGCAGTCGCAAGTACTTTTTCTTTTTTTGTTACGTTTTTCTTAATGAATTCTTTAAACTAAATGCAGCTACTCTCCATTTTAAAATCATAGTTATTGTATGTTACCTCTGATTTGTATTTTAACTTTTACAAGTGAATTTCTTTTCTTTTCCTGTTAAATGTATACGATACGAACACATGTACGACGTGACGTATATACAGTCAGATGATGTAAAAAAAGTATCTATCGCGACAACGAGTGAATGCTAAAGTTAAATTAACTGGCGCGTGATATGGGTTGTGGAATTAGTTTTAGTATGAACAAAGGTAAATTAAAAGAGGTTTTTTTAAGTTTGTTGTACTTTCTTTCTAACGTATAAAGCATGCATCGTTTTCCACCACGTAGTGCAAGAGAAAAAACACAACAGAAAGATTCACAACAACAACCAGGTCAAACTGCACCTTTTTATCCTCGATATTCAAGTTCGTACTTAACTGATTCTAACCGACATCATCTATACTAGTTTGCCCATTTTGTCCACACCATCATCTCGTACTGTTGATCAACAGCAAGATCGTTTATACATAAACAAGAGTGAACAATCGTCTCGAATTCAAGCTAATATTATTAATCCTACTGCAAGAGGAGGTCGTAACTAATCCTAATGTTGATAATTATTTTTCTTCTATATAAGATAGATATACCTTCGCTTTCTGTATTTTCTCTTTCCCACGTCTATAGATGAAGCTCAAATGACTCATATTGTTGTTTTAGTTCATTCTTTATATCATCAGATAGCTACCCAAAGAGTTTTTTCTTTCGTTCATATATTTTACTGTTCTGTTTTTTTCTTTTATTATGAGAAAAAAAAATATCTTATGTGCTACACGTTACTAACATACAAATATAGTATTTGCAATAATGAAGGAGAAAAAAAAGATTGAAAAATAGAAAAAAAAGAGTATCTATATAGACGGGTCGACTGTATTAATCGTTATGGTGCTCTGAGATTTTTTGTTGTTTAATAGCATTTTCAACCACACGCATATATATCAAATTCTGGAAAAATAAAAATAACGAAATAACATAAAAATATATAAATAAATGGGAGGAACAAATAGTAAAGATTCAAGAAAACGTAAAGGTACTGATGATGTTGCTTTTCTTTTGATAAACAACAAGACATACTGCAAGAGGCTAGTTTCTTCTCGTGTCATTATTCATCATTGTTTATATCTGATCGAAATATCAATGTAAAGCACAATACAGATAAAACATAATCGAGACATTTAGTTCCATGCTCTGAAAACAGAAGTACCATGACTGTCTGAAATTATTTGAGTGCATGCGTTTCCCTAATCCCATGCCGAATAATCTGTTTATCTCTATTTAGCAGAACATGATCCTTCTCGCTCGCCGGCTTCAAATCGTAGAACATCTCCCGGTGCACCACAACGAGAACAACAATTTCAACAGTCCACAGATGGACAAAAATCAACACCAGTATCAACCAATAATCCTGTGGCTCCGGAACAAACCGAATCAAACTTACCTACCGCACCAATCCCAATGTCATGTAATCAAGAACAGACGCAACAAGATCAACAAGTGCCCTCAACTGGATCACCTGTTCAATCTCAACCACTACAACGTGATGCAAATCAAATCGCAATAGAAAAATTAGAAAATATTAAAACAAATTTAGCAGATTTAAGTAAACGTGTTGATGAATTTAAGGGTACTACGCGAGATGAACGTTTGTATAAAGAATTAGATGAACAAGCAGTAAAATTAATGATACGATGCGATGAACTAGTCAATGTACGAGATGAAATTAAGGAAAAACGAAAAGAAATGATTCAAAATGTACAACATGTACTTACAAAACTTGAATTAAAAATACCCACGTATAATAATGATAATCAAACAAGAGACACTGCACTTGTTGTTTATAGTTCACAGCTAGACACATTAAATAAAAATAATAGTTCAATTGATGAATCATTGTCATCAACAACTGAAACGAGGTTACAACAAAAGCCAGTGGATGCAACAGCAGTCACAACAATAGTTGCAGAACAGCAACTAGAAACGTCTTCATAATTATGTCTTTCTATCTTTCTTTCTTCTGCTACAGATATGTTAATAGAGATACATATTTTTTTACTTCTTTCAATAATAAGTTTTCGTTTTTTGTGTGTTTTGACAGTTTAAATTTTACTTTCGATGTTGTTATTGCATATTTCTCCTTTTTTATTCATTGCTTTTTCTGTTCTATTCTATTCAATGTCACAGCATAAGTTTTTTGGAAGGCTATTTGAAAACTCAAAAAAACAAATAATAAAACAATTTGTTAAGCATTACAAAGATAATGTCAGATAGAAATAGACAACTGTCACCCGTACTAATATTTTCGTTAGCTGGAAATATTAGTATCGATTCTTCTTCCGATAGCGATCTTAATTCAAAATGACGATAATCAAATTTGGTTTACTGTCCAATACGTGGTCGCTATCGCTTACACTATTAAAGAATGGAATTTACCATACTTTTACGTTGAAGATGCTCATTCCAACTTTAACAAAACTAAAATTTACATATAACTCACGAAAAGAAAATTTTTTTTCTTGTAAAATTAACTACAGAAAAAAAGCATTTTGATAATATTCATTTCAAACACGTAGATGACATTTTTGCAATATAGAAAACAGAAAATATGTAATTTTTTATTGTGATAGAGAAGGGAAACAGAACATAGTGATTAGTATAGTAAGATCGATGTAATATTCATAGTTACTTAACAAAAACTTTTGGTTCATATATTTCACATGCTCAGTGCTTCTAGGGAAGTTTGAACGTAGACACTATTTTTTTAGCAGCAAACGTAGATTCAGGCTGCCTACCAATACTGTTCTGATTATCTATAATCATTCTGTCATTTCCATCGCTTCAAAACTCAGAAAGACTCTTCAATCATTCATACACCAACATATCACCTGGCGGTCTATACAATGCTAATGTGAGAAAAATGAAAAGGAATCGGTCAGAATTTCCTAAATTGTTTTTCATTTTTTGAATTTCTTAATTTACTCTAACTTTAACCCCCTATAACTCGTATTATCTAACTTTCAGAACCATTCATTAGAAAATGATGTAGTATTTGGTATGTCTTACTAGATAAACAAAACTACATCTGGAGTAGTTCCAATAGTAACACCATACGAAAAGAAGAGACAGCAAGCGTACATTCACAACAGTTCAAAGAAAAGTTTGTCTTATAAATTTACTAAAACAGCAAAAAGTTGTAATACAACTTTTTGTACATAATGTAGCAAATGTATATCACAAAATTCGAAGATTAGAACGTTTTAGTAAAAAAAGCAGGAAAGATAGGAAAGTTCTTCTGCATATATAAATATGAGCCATCAATTATTACAAAACGAAAAGGAAGAAAAAGCTCATTCAACAAGAAGGACTTATATAACCATTATAGCGCCATCTATACAGCTTGGTTCAAAAACAAAAGAACAGAATATAAATATCTATCAATATTGACTTGATCTTATTCTATTATTATAGTTATTTTAAACAAAAAGGCAGAGACAGAAGTGACGTGTAAGCTAAATCGGACAATGTAATCGATTTTGAAGAAAGTTGGAGGTGAACCACTTTGTTGACACATTTTTCCCAATCCGAGCTGGATTTTTTTGCCACTTTTGATACAATGATGCGACATGACGATTATATGTGCTTTGTAAGGGCAAAATACAATTCAGACGAAAGTCGTTTAATAGCTTAGTGGAGAAGTTTTAGAATTTTCATAGATTTTAATAAAGTGTATCCTCACAAATCGTGCCATCACTGGCCCAGATGGCTCAATGACATCCTCTACCACGTTAAAGGTCACTCACATCGAGAAAACAATATAGTTCACTTATAATTCTTGTTCATAAAAAAACAAAACGGTAAATAATTTCCTGACATTGGAAAAACTTTGTGAGAGTTTCATATCACCGGAACAAAAAAAATAAAGTTGATTTAGAGTTGCTGAAAGATGTCTTTTCGTATTCAGCACATTCAATAACTCAGAGGATTCTCTGTTTTTGAGGAGAGATACTTCAAAAAGTTTAGGAAAAATTTTGAAACAAAATGGCGCAAAAAGGTTTCCATGGGAAAATAATATTAGTTTGAAAATTCTTCCTAAACTTTTGGAAGTACTCCTCGCCAAAAACAGAAACTCTTCTGGGTTATCAAGTGTGCTGAATACGAAAAAGCACTTTTACATTAGCGCAAAATCGACTTTTTATACGGAGAACACAATCGGTTCAAATTTTTTTCAGAAGAGCTTATTATATGAATTGACGGTCGCAAAGTATCTTTTGATTCAAATCACTTTTCGCAATTTGGCGCGATCGCGCCAAATCTTAATAGAAATTAATATACTATTTTTTGAACAAGCTAGAAAAAAGGGTTTTTTTTGTTTATTTGCGAACAAACACGTA